ACTCAGGACCTGAATCTCTTAGCGAGTTCAGCTCCTGCCCACTGGTGCTTCCCTGAGGGGCAGGAAGTGGTTCTCTGTCTCTTGGACAGCTCATTTCCTTCCACAGGAGCTGGCTTTTGTATGTCTGGGGCAGAAGGGACAGGGCCTTGGAAGGCTGGGCAGGAGCTCCCTGAGCCAGTTGCTGAGTGGGGCCAAGAGTTCTGTGTTGTATGCCCCGGTGGGAATATTAGAGCATGGGGAGAGTCCTGTCCTAAGACAGGCCGGGGTGTTTGGCTAGATGTCCGCCTGGTATCTGCAGGTTGATGGAAAACCTTGGTCTGAGAAGACCCTTGGTAAGTGCAGCAGCCCCTCCAGCCCCCTTTCTCCACAGCCCGCCTGGTTCTGCAGCATCTGGGGCGGGGTAGTTTCAGAGTTTGGAGGCTTCAGAGTTTGAGTGATCTGTCATGTTTGAATCCACCTTCTTGGTTCTCAGTGCGGCCTTAAGCCTGAAACCTGGTCACTTTTCACTGTCCTTTCCTCATTCTCAACCAAGTCAGGGACCCTGGAGCCGTTTCATATAGAGAAAGCCAGGCTCCTGGCCCTCCTAGGAACCTTGTATGTGTCCATGCCTGGGAGTCTGGCTGGAGAGGCTGCAGTGTGACAGATGCTATAATGTGAGAAGGGAAGACAGAGTTGGGAGGCTCTCCCAGGAACCCGCTACTATATTATTTTACAGGACCAAGGGGCCTTTGCAGATGTGATAAAGGACCTTGAAATGGGAGATTATCCTGGGCTCTCTGGGTGCCCAGTGTAATCTAAATCCCAACCTGAGAAGGACTCTGCTTGCCCTTTCTGTAGTATGAACCGCTTATCCCCTAGCGCCTCCAGGAAGAAACAGCCTGCTGACACCTTGACTTTAGTCGGGCGAAACTCAGACTTCTGATTTTCAGAACTGTAAGAAAATAAATTTGTGTCGTGTGAAGCCACTAGGCTTGTGATGATTTCTTAGGGAGCAACAAGAAAAGTAGCACATCGTTCTGGTGCCGTGAGGCTCAGTTGAGGGGACAGCACCAGGTTCCACTGATTCCCGGTGGATGTGGTGGAGCTGAACGTAAAGGCATTTACAGGATGAGGGGACCCAGTGAGGAGTGGGGCAGTGTGAGTTTGCTGGGGGCACTCTCCTCTGTTATCTTTCCCTTTCAGCCTTAGATGGTCTGAATGCTGCAAGAGACTATCTCAACTGAGCCGATGGGCCTGAAGTGCAGCTCTGTCAGCCTGGCTC